ACTTCCGATTGGATTTGAAACTGTCTCATTGCTGTTTATCAGTAAAACTTTGAAAAAAAAAACAAATTGGTATGACAGTTTCAAAAATTAACACATTGCATACTCTCTTCCTAGTGGTAATAGTTCTTACTAGATACACATGGATATAAACTTATACTAGGAGGAAATTTGGGTGTACTTGGTATCCTTCCATCAATTTTAAAAGAACAAAGCAGGTGAAAGAGGTATCAATGGTTGTTTTATGTTATTTAACTAGACAAGAGAAATTTGAACAGGAGGCAAGTCAAAATTGCTGACAACATTTATTTCTGCCAGTTGGGATTAATGAAGTATAGAATGTCTTTGCTTAAGGCACACCAAGGGGAGCAGCACCTTGTCCCTTAAGTGGCAGTGTTTGTTATCCAGCTGTCACGGTTGGGGTGGTAGCCACCCTTGGCTCCTTATCTGGGGCTTCTACGTGGTAAGTACTGTCACCCCAGGGACTAGCTTTGCTGTAGAGTTTGAAGGCGCTTCAGTTTTGACTTTTGTCGCCGAGCAGTTCTGAGTTTTTTAGTTTTTAAGAAACTGTCCTCGAGTTGATATAGAAAATTTTCAATTCGTCCAACCTAGAAAAAGTGAACAAATACAACAAGGTTTATTGTTGGCTTCCTGAATTTTGTGTTCTTAGGAAAATGGTGGAATGCTTAAAATTGAAAGACACATATGTCCATATTGGAAGAGAACTGGCAGAGACAGGAGGGATTCGACATAAAAGCCTGCTTCTGTTTCCATTTCAGGCTTCCTTGTCTTTTCAAACATGGCACAAGCGGATGGGACTTGGCTTCATCATTCAGACCTACATTCTGAGAATGGAAATGGGGTTACCATCGCCATTCTGGTTTTAGTAGTCAGTGAAAGCGGGGATTTCAAAAGGAAGTGGATAGTGAAAAATTAATCCACAGCCAACCTTGCTCTACTTCTTTTATAAAAAATAAGAGACAAAATGACAAATTTAACCATCCTAAAAGCCAGCAATTCTAACACGTATGCACCGTAGCCACACTGTCTTGGCAAGAACCATTTCTCCTTTAAATCCAAAGGAAAACTTGAAAACAAGCTGCATTTCCTTAAGAATGCCATACTCCAAGAAATAGGACAAAAGCCTTAAAAAACAATATTTTGAAAAAAGAAAACAGTCTTTTTCTAAAGAAAGCTTACAATTACTTATAGTTGGTTGAATGCATTTATACAATTTGTCTGAGAGAACTACCATATGAAAGTTTACGTACATGCTGAATCAGGCTCTTATAAGAATCAGGAGATGTAACAATTCATGCGTAACATTGACTTCCACGACCTGCATATTGTGTTAATCTAACATTGCTTACTAAAGAGGCTGTTCTCATAAAGTTAGCTCAAACCTAGAGCACTTACTATTCAAGGTATCATCTACTTAAGATAAAAGCACTTAGAACTTCAGCCTTCCAATTTTGTACTCCATTTTCAAACTGTTTGATTTATCATTCAGAATAATATTCAAAAGATAATTCAGATTGTCAAAAAGAGAATAATGAAATAAGCACTCATCCATATATTATACTTAGGTCTTATTTCATACCAGGTGATAGGAACTGTCCATTGGGTCCCTTAAGAAAATAAGATAACGTGTTTATATGGAAAGAATTCTTTTTGAAAGCCTTATTGAAAAACTGTATCAGGTGAATTTTTCAGAAAGCATTTTGCCACTTCTGATGTGTTGTCATTGTAGGAGTTATCAAAACAGAATATATTGTTTTGATGTCATTATAGGCCTGAAGAGATAGTAGGTAGACAAACAAGCTGGCAGATGAAGCCACAGAATATTTTTAGATACCATCATGAAGTCAATACATTATTCTATGTATGCCATACATTTGTATTATCCAACTTCCACCAAGCTAATAAGTGAAAAGAAAAGTAATAGAGCACAATCAAGATGAAGGTAATGAACAACACTTTGCCATTACTTTAATAGTTGAGTTGATGACTTGTGGATGTTATTTGCACAGAAAATATATCATTTAAATCAAAGCTTTTTACAACTTAAATGCTTACCACTGGCCCAGATATAATTTGGAACTACAATCCTAATACAACAGCACCAAATTTTCTTCAGTGAGAGAAAAGGATGTAAAAATACCCTTTAAGTGGCAGCTGATTTTTGGGGTGATTTTTTTTTTGTGTGCCTGGCTCAGCCCACCCTATGGGCAGAGCTGGCATGGCATGTGGTACCAGGGATGGAATTGTAGTCCCTGTGCTTTTGTCTAAGCTTGCCTAAGCAGACGCTTTACTGCTGAGCCATCTCACTGGCCTGGGTAATTGTTTTTGATATGAGTGGTATTGACTAACTTGATTGCCTTTCATTGGAAAAAGACAAAGAAAAGACACAAAATATGACAGTGGACTAATGAGTACTATTGAACTAAACTAGGAAGTCTAGAGGTGACATTTTGTGCATGCCTAGCCTGGCCTGTGGGTTCATCTCCCAGCTTGTTTATCTACCTACTGTCTTTTCAGTCCTCTAATGACATGAAATTGATCACTTTAAATGATATAAATCTTATTATATCTTTACCTTATTTAGAAGTATTTTATCCATTTATTTACTTTTATTAGAACATGTTTACAGTATGTGCTGAGTGTATTCATTATGGGCAGTAGCACAGATATATAGCACATCTTCACTATTTTTAACTCCCTTCTCCTTCCTCTATCACTTGGTCTCCGCATTGGCTAAAGATCTATCTCCCTGTTTCCTATTATTTTATCTATTTATACTTTGGGTTTCTCATATAAATCATATGTTTAAGGTTGTGTTCCTGATTTATCTCACTTACCATTATAGACTCAAGGTTTATTTATTTTCTACCAATGACCCAAATTTACCCTTCTTTACTGCAGAGTAGTACTCTGCTGTGATATGCACCACATTTAAAAAATTATTGATATTATTTGTTAATGGAAATAGTTTAAATAACTACCTCTGGCCTCTACAAATCTGAGTGAACTAGTTTCATATGTGTTTTTAAGCTCTGACATCACTTTACTCAGTTGAACCTTGTAGTTCATTTCTGAGTTATCTAAGTATCCTTTTTTTTCTTTTTTTTGTGGTACCAGGAATCAAACTCAGAACCTTGCATTTGCCAGGCAGGTGCTGTGCCACTGAGCTACACCCCCAGTCGTATCTGAGTATCCTTGATCTTTCAAATATGATGACCTCTGTGTCTCTTAGAATCCTAACACAGCCTTTAGATTTTAGGCTAAACATCAGTGCTCCAAGGAAGTCCTTCTTTATAATCTAGGCAGGTCAGGTCCCTCAGTAATATATTTCCATAGCAGTTTATTCATCTCTGGATATGGTGATTTTTACATAATTGCTTTATTTTTAACAGAGGGGAAGCATCTTTACTGAAACTAAAAGGAAAATCTGTCAATATTTTAGAGCAGGGGAAAAAATCTTTGAGATATTGGTACAAGAGAATCATCACATAAACATAAATTTATCTTTAAAGATATTTCTTTGGTAGTATGAGAATTTCAACAATATTACTCCTTGCAGCTCATGAAGTAGTATATCTTCTTTGTCTTTTCACTTGAATTTAATACAGCAGGAATACAGTTTGCTGTATTATATAGGAACTACGTCCATACTGCCCACTATTTTCAGAAATAGAAGATGGTGGCATCTCAATAATCCTACTCTTTGATAATTGATCAGATTTAGAAAGAAATGTGTTTCCTGTACTCAGTGTGATGTTTGGGACAGAGTACACCAGGAGGTCCTCTCTTGCTAAGCATTACTTTAGCACCTCCACCATCCTCTTGTGATTGATTGCCCCACCTCAAAGCAAATTGATGGTAGCAAGGTGTCTCTGTGCTTCCAACAGTCAGCTGTGCAAACAACCCTGGTGAACAGGCAGCAAGAGCCCTGGGCCCTGCTCCTAGCTGGCTTTGGCATAGCCCTGCTCTCGGATCCCCAGGAAGTCTCTTTCCCTTTCTGAGCCTTGGGCTTTGCCAACATCTGGTGTTGAGAGAGGAGTGGCCTACAAATTTCCAAGGACACATCCAGGCAAACAATTCCATGACGCGTGCTCACTCCGGCACTAAGTAATCCAGTCCTAGAGATGAGTACTCACATTTTCAAATCAGAGTTTTTTTTTTCCCCTTAGATTATACCATTAGATGAATGGCACGGGGTGCAGGGAAGCAAGTCCATTTTAGCTCCTGTACTGGCTGAAGTGTAGGAGAGCTGCAACATGATTTCAGTATAGCTGGCTTTTATTTTATTTTATTTTTTTTTAAGAAAAGAAAAATGCTGGTTGAAGAGAAAATAGATTCATATAACTAAGAAGAACAGATTGCAAGTGATAGAAATTCTATAAAGCCTTTGGGAAAATAAAACACAAAGAAATATGTAAGTATTTCAGAAAGGAAATGAGTTGGGTTTTAGAACAGAGGCTTTTTTAGACCCTCTTTTTTGGTACATAATCTACTTGCTTAACTATATCAGATGGGCTAGTTGGTCATTCCAGGTCTAATTTTTCCATTTGCAAAATGGGTATGTAATATTTTCTTGTGTAGGTATGTGACAGTGCCGACTCAGTACTACAATGACAGGGAAATCAGAGACAAGGGC